CGTATACCGTATTAGTAGAGGTATCATTGCTTACTGGAAATATTAAATTTTACATCCTTTCAATTAAAGCTAAAATGAAAGTTTTTTCAATTTAAAAACAAATTATTTTAAATCTTACGTATACCGTATTAGTGGAGGTATCATTGCTTACTGGAAATATTAAATTTTACATCCTTTCAATTAAAGCTAAAATGAAAGTTTTTTCAATTTAAAACAAATTATTTTAAATCTTACGTATACCGTATTAGTGGAGGTATCATTGCTTACTGGAAATATTAAATTTTACATCCTTTCAATTAAAGCTAAAATGAATGATTTTTCAATTTAAAAAAAATCGTTTTATATCTTACGTATACCGTATAAGTGGAGGTATCATTGCTTACTGGAAATATTAAATTTTACATCCTTTCAATTAAAGCTAAAATGAAAGTTTTTTCAATTTAAAAACAAATTATTTTAAATCTTACGTATACCGTATTAGTGGAGGTATCATTGCTTACTGGAAATATTAAATTTTACATCCTTTCAATTAAAGCTAAAATGAAAGTTTTTTTCAATTTAAAACAAATCATTTTAAATCTTACGTATACCGTATTAGTGGAGGTATCATTGCTTACTGGAAATATTAAATTTTACATCCTTTCAATTAAAGCTAAAATGAAAGTTTTTCAATTTAAAAAAATCGTTTTAAATCTTACGTATACCGTATTAGTGGAAACTTGAAATATTAAATTTTACCTTTTCAATTTAAAATGAAAGATTTTTCAATTTAAAAAAAAATCGTTTTAAATCTTACGTATACCGTATTAGTGGAGGTATCATTGCTTACTGGAAATATTAAATTTTACATCCTTTCAATTAAAGCTAAAATGAAAGATTTTTCAATTTAAAAAAAATCGTTTTCAATCTTACGTATACCGTATTAGTGGAGGTATCCTTGCTTACTGGAAATATTAAATTTTACATCCTTTCAATTAAAGCTAAAATGTAAGCTTCAAGAATTCTTTTTCATTTTAAAAGCATATTTTATATCTTACCTATACGGAATTCGTGGAGGTACCTATCTAATAGTATAACACGATTTTTTCCTTGGATAGCAACTGTCATTTCCTATTTGCTTACGCGTAGATACTGTGAAAAATGGTTAATATTTCTTTCAAACTTTGCCTTTGTGAGCAGGATAATGATATTTCTGAAATGTACCTATTCCCATTGGGGAAAACTAGCGAATGTGAACATTTTCATTCCGTCAAAGGGTTTTAGGATTTGAAAAATATTAATTAATTTGTTTCCTGGGCAGATAATTGCATTATTGGGCCATTTTTTAAAAAAATTTGTTAATTCATAAAATAAAAAAAATAAAAATATTAAGTAAAAAGAACCAAAATTAAAAATGGTTGAACGAAGCTCTCTCATGAAGCGCGTAAATTGAAACATTGAATCTGTCTAGAGCAGTGGTTTTCAACCAAGAATCTGCTGAACCATATCCTTCCGCCAGTAAAGCCCAGGGGTTCCACAAGTAGTTACACAAGTACTATGATTGACAGTAATTTTTAAGTCTCCTGTACAGATATGTGTGTTTAGGTACCTCCACTAAATCAATAACAAAACAGCAGAGCATGAATAAAAAAAGGTCCCAATCTTAATAAAACAAACTTTTTCCATCAAAATGTTTATATTTTTATTAAGAGGAAAGATCAAAGTAATTTTTAATTACTTTTTAAAATTTTTTAATCCCATCGAACATTTTTGAAATTTTGTCAGAAAATTTTGTTTTGATTTGAGTTAGCGGTTAAACAAACGTTACGACTGTTTTACAATGGAAAACGTAAAAATTATATCACCCACTTTTTTTCGGTGACAAACACATTAATTTGGAAATTCTCGCAAAAATCAAATAATTGTCGGATTTTAATGAAACTTTTAGGACTTATTCACAAATGAATGAAATTATTTTTGAAATCATTATTTTCTAAAAATCTTGGTAAAAATATTGAGTATTTTTATTTTAATAATTGAAAGCTTTTTTTTTTTTTTTTTTGGATAAGACAAGGGGTTCCTGGAGCCACTGGAATGTTTCCTTGTGGTTCCGCTCCAGCAAAAAGGTTGAAAAACACTGGTCTAGAGTATAAGGGAAAATAGATCAGTGTCAATACATCGATGTATGGTTCGCAGAAGCAACGTTTGAAAGGAATAATGGTCATTTCCTTTGCTTCCTGGACAGAAGAAATTTGGAGAGAACATTTGCTGCCAAAAACAAGTCAGAATTTTGTGACACAGTGTAATCAATGCCAGATAATATTAGAAACTGCTGATCAATAAATTATTCTATAAACCTTTGATTTTCAGTATATTTTTTTAGAAACCGATAATTTAAAAAAAAAATCACTTCACCCAAATCAAGATGAGAATGCCACTAAGACGCAAAGGGTTTACAGGGGTTGAAAGTGAAAACTTCAGGGAGTAGAAGTGAAAAAAGAACAATAAAGAAATAGGATTCAAGAAGACAGAAGATGGCGATTGACGTTGCATTTAAATTTTGGCAGTCGTAGTTGTTAAAGAAGCAAAAAAATTGGAAGGGAATTACACAGGACTCTTCCTGTGTAATTCCCTTCCAATTTTTTTGCTTTTGTGAGAAAAGTAACTGTTAAAATAGAACAGTCGATTGCATCTAGCTAGTTTAGCAGTAAAACGGGTGGGGCCTAGTTGCCAATCGAGTAAAACGCTTCAATTCCCGCAGTCGCGGCTCTAAGGAAAAAAAGGGCATCAGAACAGTTACCATGAACATATTTGTAGAAGTGACAGAAGAAAGTCACGACACGTCGGTGAGAAAGTGACTGAAATCGTGATGCCAGGTCAGGACCGATAACATTACAGACTCTTCTTTGAATATTGTCAAGGACCTCGAGATATATAGCAGGAGCACCGGACCAGATATGGCAGCAGTAGTCAATGAACGGACGAATAGTAGATTTATGAATTTGCAAGAGGGAATCTGATGAGGAAAAAATATTTTGGCAATATATTGTGCGGATTTATTTTAGAAAACTATTATTAATGTCATATTTTTCTGTTTAATTTTTATAATTAATACCGGATTTTACGTTCGTCATTAATGGGTTACAGCACAGTACTGGCGCATTTAAACGCACATACGCATGCGCACACATACGAAAAAAAAAGCACAAAGGGATATAGTCATTCAATCTCTTTCTATTCGTCGCTTATCTGGCCAATTCATGTTTTAGCACAAATTATCAAAGTCTAATGAACCAAAACGTTTAAATAAAAAAAAAACAAAAAACTATTAATTAGCTTAACGTTTTCGGCTTCAAGTTTCTCTATAAAGCAATAAAAAAAACATGATATATTTTTTTAAAAAATCATTATATGGTAATTAGAATATCTTGTATCAGAAAAGTGTATGCATATTTTATGCGAACAACAAATTGTACAAGCATTTAAATGACTGGGGAGTGTTTTAACAAAGAACTTAAAATGTGAATGCTGGACAATCTCCTCACGGATGGAAGAGAACCTTGAAGCAACAGAAATGTCGTACTATACAGAAAAGCGTACCAAACTGTTATACAATATCGGTCATCCTATATCGCTGTGAATACTGGACAATCTCCTCACGGATGAAGAAGAGATTTGAAACATCTGAAATTTGGCTCTACAGAAGGATACTGAGAATCCAATCGCCTGAATATGTGAGTAACTAGAATGTTTTAAGGAAAATGGAAACAACAAAGACGTTTATACTTAGAATCAGAGAGACAGCTGAAATTTCTCGGACACATAATGAGGAAAGGGTGCTTGGAGAAATTGACACACGCAAGGCATAATGACGGCAAGAGAGACACAGGAATCCAGAGAATAACTTCCCTAGTTTGTTTAAATGGTTGTCAGAAAAGAGATTTGGGAGAGTTGACAAAACTTCCACCATTACTAAGAGCAACTTAGGAAGTTGTGGAGAGTGATTGTCAGGCATATTCTGAAGGGACATGTCACAATGAAGAACTTACCTGCCTGCGTAATATTTTTATTGTACCAAAATTATTGGTAGATTTATATTAAACATGGAGCAAGTTTCATTATTCTTCCTAGCTGCCCTCAAAAACGACCTCCAATCAGTGGTTAACTGGGTCAAGAAATGTCTAGTAATTTTTAACGACTCCAAAAGCAACCATTTTTGCCCTCCATTAACATGGCTGATGCTAACCTCCAGAAGAGCAAATCATTGTATCATCTTGGTCTTCTACTGATTTGTAGTGAAGCGATTATATTGAATCAATTGCTAGGTTTTCTGTTACGAACGTTGGTTCACTGTGTCGTGCCAAAAGATTATTCTCACCAGAATCCATATTATAAATCTAACATTCGTCCGTGCATTGAATGTTAGTGCTATATCGGTTTTGGTGTTCCGGCTATATATCCCCAGATACATGAAAATATCCAAAGAAGAATCTGTCATTTTATTGGTTCTGACTTGGCATCTCGACTTCTGTCACTTTTCTACTGTCATAAAGTGACTTCCCTCTATCTTTTCTATTAAAATTTTCAGCTATCGTCGTTGGTGCCTCGACTGCGTGAATTTAAATGTGCTACTTGATTGGTTATTAGGTCTCATCGTTTTACTGTTGAATTACCTTGATGTAGTGTAAGTTCTATTCCAGTTGTTTCTTCCCTCGCACTTCTCGCCTGTGGAACTCTATTCCGATTTCTTGCTTCCCTGTAACGTACAATGTTCAGCAATTGAAATGCAACGCCAATCGCCATTTTCTGTCTCGCTGAAATCTGTTCTTTTATTGCCCTTTCTCCTCATAGAAGTCTTCTTATTCACTTCCGCTCTAAGCATCCCCCGCCATTGCGTCTTAGTGGCATCGCCTTGTTTGGGTTGAAATGGCTAAAAATAAAGTTTTTAAAAGTGTTTCCAAATTGTTAAAATGTTTCAGACGACCAAGTTTCCTATGCAGCATCAATGCGTACGATTATCGTTAGGTCGATCCCAATCTGTCATAATGGAAAAACTCTATTTGCCGGCCAATGGAGGTAAATTTGCTGTATCTATGACTAATAAAAATAAAAGAAAGAAGAAAAGAAAAAATAATGAAAAAAGAAAAGAAAGATAAAACGAAAAAAACAAAAATAGAGAAAAAAGAGAAAAAAAAAACGAAACGAAAAGAAAAAAAAAAGAATGAAAAGCAAAAAAGGAAAGAAAGAAAAAAATGAATAAAGAAAATAAAAACGAAAGAAAAGGAACAGGAAAAAAGAAAGTAACATACAAAGGAAGGAACAAAGTAAAGAAAAAAAGAAAAAAAATAAGAAACATCAGGAAAAAGGAAGAGAAAAAGAAAAGAAAAAAAAGAAGCAATGAAGACAAAAAAAAGAAGAAAAGAAAAAATAAAAAAATAAGAAAATAAACGAAGAAAGATTATCAAAAACAACAAAAGAAAGAAAAAAAGGTAAACAAGGACAGAAAAACAAAAGAGAATATAAAAGACAATAGAAAGAAGAAAGAAAAAGAGATAGCCATTGAATAACTGGGTGACACTAGTGAGCGGATAAAAGAAGGAATGACACAAGAGGTGCGAACTAAAAGAAGTCGACAGATATGGTATTGTTAACATAGTTTTCTCGACCAATAAGTCTGAAAGCAGCCATAAAAACGCACTTATAACATTCAGACGTGTACCCTGAACCAGACTACGAGTAAAATTAGAGACAAATGACTAATTACTGTGTACATTTATCTCCTGAAATCCGAGAAAGTGACCGCTAGATGTTTTCTTTTTTTTTTTAAATTAACTAAAAGAAAAACATTGAATATTATCATATTACTTGCAAAAAGTGTAAAGTCCCTTTGGCAAGTGAGTTATACGTATAGCGACCCCTATTAACACGGTACTGCGGGCAACGGCACAGTTATGTAGACAGATTGAAACCACATGAGGGACGTGACAGAAAGCAAGGCGATAAGAAAAAAAATAATGCCTTCTTTGGAACGGCACCTCTCAAATGGGAACCACTTCATTCCCAGGAAAATAATTTAAAATTTAAGGAGAGGAATTCTAGCCAACGGAGGAATTGCAGTTTTAAAAGCGAAGAAATAATGATAAAAGAATATTAGAATATTTATTTTTTAAAAGATGGAACATTTTAATCGTATTGTGCTAACCAGCATTTTGTTACGATGTATCGTTTTTACTGGATTATAGTAACAGGCAGACATACAGAAATCAGGCAAATTCTGTCTGTCCGTCAGGGTGTCTGAAACTCCTCTCAGTCTGGACACATTTGCTCTACATAGACATTTTGGAATCAGGATGACCTCTGGATTGAAAATCTGTCTTTTATCTGGTGACCTAACATCAAGCTTTGTGATTTGTGTCCGGATGAGGAGGGAAAAGTTAAAAATACAAATTTTGATTTTTTTTTGATTTTAGAAGTTATTAATGAGTTGAAAGTAACACAAAAAACTTTGTGAATATAAAAAAAAAAATGTTTTAACTTCAGTTTAAATTTTTTTCCAAACTTTCTGAATCGAGGAAATCAATTTTATTTCTTCAAAATGCCAAGCAATCAGAGTTAAATTGAGAGGTTTTGTGATGTGGGGTTTTGAAGTTCCGCAGAGTTTGTCATTTGAAGAACAGAACTCAATTGAAGTTCCACGGAGTTTGTGATTTGAAGAATTCAGTTTTTGGCCTGAATTGGAATTTCAGCCCAAATAGGATTTTGGCCCAAATTGGTCTTTTGGTTGGCACTGGACATAGCTCGAATCAGATTTAAAGTGAGGTTTTGACGTTCTCTCGTGTGAATTAAGGAATTCAACGATATTTCTTCAAAATTATCATTACTGTTTTCTAAGTTAATCCAGAGGTCCCTTTAGTTTTGGGCTGAAAGCTCAATTCGCCCTCCACAGGAGCTACCTTTTAAGCTTGTTTCTATATCTCTATATATAAAACAGTACGGTTTTTAAGCTTGTTATATATATATATATATATATATATATATATATATATATATATATATATATATATATATATATATATAAATCAGACGATGTCTGTCTGACTGTGTGGTACTTTTCACTCGAGATCCATCCAACCGATTTTAACCAAACTTGGCACATACATTGTACAATGTAAGAAATACGTTCTTAGTGTAAAAAAATCGATAATTTAAAAAAAAATCAATAATCGATAAAGCCGATCAAAAAACCGATAAATTCAACTTTTTCTTCCGATTTCGTTCAAACTCGGTATGTAGGTTACTTACATTATGACGAGCTCAACGATACCTGATTTTTATTTCTACGCCACTGCGTTTAGCGAAAAACCGCGAAAAACTAAAAATCGATTCAAACACAAAATTAAAGCTGAAAAGTCCCTCAATTTTCAAGCAATCTAATACAAACTTCTCTCAATTAACAGTTATTTAACTTGATAACTGAGTCCAACGATGTAGTGAAAGCACGCGTAAATATTGAAAAATGTCGATTTTTACTGGTTTCTTTGTTATTTTTCGTTGATCTTTCAACCAGTTTTCATCAGATTTAACAACTGCTTTATAATTGTATCCTCTTTGACACCCCTGGTAGCATATTGACTAATTGAATTTCAAAAACTCCAAAATAATCGTGGTCTAAAGTGGGTCTTCATGTTACCTGTTTTACCCCTTCATGTCCTCGGCTAACTTCGATTGAATAAAGACAGACTACTTCTGTTATATTAGTAACTGTATTAATTCAAACTGTTTTTTTTTTAAATGAAAGTACTTTAAAGTAATTGAAGAAGATAGACTCTGTTACATCTAAACATGATGCTGTTTTTGCTCCATTATAATTAAACGTTTTTCTCTGATCGACCAGCTTGGTATGGCTGCTAGTAAATGAATAGACATGCCTACAGTTTTCCTTAATGATGCTGAGGGTGCTTCGTTAATTTTGGATAATTTCGGGGGTGCTGAACCTCAAAAATATATTATCCATTTTGTGATTAAATAAATGCTCATATTTTAGAGAGAAACCTCATAAATAATACGGATGCCCCAAAATCTCATAACGAAGGTGGTGTAACTTTTCGGACGGGGAATCATGAAGTCTGCTGTACCTCTATTCAATAGTCTAGGCAGTTTTTTTTAAAAAAAACTGTTTCTTTATTTACTTTAATAATTTTCATTGCTGCTCGAGTTGGCTGATTTCTTTGCATGACCTAAGCAAGACAATAAAGCCGCTAAGAAGCAAAAGCAAAAGTGTTTAGATAACATAAGAAAAGAAAGAACACTAAAAGAGAGAACACTAAAAGAACAAGAATTAAGAAGACAGAAAATGACAACTGACATTGCATTTAATATTTAAAGGATCAAAGCTGACTGGAAAGTAAGAAGGAGGAAGTAAGTTCCACAAGCAAGAAGTGCGATAGAAGAAACTGTTAGCATAGAACTTACGGTTAAATCTAGCCATTTTAACAATAAAATGAAGAGACCTTTCCGACAATCAAGTACTGCACGTAAATTCATAAAGGCTAGGTACCATAGAGGAAAGTTCATCAGAACAGTTGCCATGAAAGTATTTATAGAAACGGCCCTGGGAAGCTACGTAACGGTGTAGGGGCGGGGGAAGTAACTGAAGCCGAAATGCCGAAACAGGGCCAATAACATTGCAGATTCTTCTTTGAATTTTTATCAAGAATCTCTAAATATATAGCAGGAAGACCAGACCAGATGTGACAGAAATATTCAGAATATGGACGAATGATAGAATTATAAATATTTAAGAGAGATTGTGGCGAGAAAATATTTCTAACACGACTTAGGGCACCAATTTTCTTTGCTATATTGCTGGTCTTCTTTGAACGCACCACTAAACTGGTTTCACATTTAAAAAAAACAAAAGAACTCTTCTATTTTACTTAAATAACTGGCAGAGTATTGAGAGGCGCCACTATATTTTCGGTTAAATGTCCATTTGGTTAAATATCCGTCGACCAAATGTCCGTCGGCCAAATATCCGGCGGCCAGATGTCCGTCGGCCAAATGTCCGTCGGCCAAATATCCGTCGGCTAAATATCTGTCGACAAAATGTCCATCGGCCAAATGTCCATCGGCTAAATATCCGTCGACAAAATGTCCGTCGGCCAAATATCCGTCGACAAAATGTCCATCGGCTAAATATCCGTCGACAAAATGTCCGTCGGCCAAATGTCCGTCGGCCAAATATCCATCGACAAAATGTCCGTCGGCCAAATGTCTGTCAACCAAATGTCCGTCGGCCAAATGTCCGTCGGCCAAATATCCATCGACAAAATGTCCATCGACAAAATGTCCGTCGGCCAAATATCCGGCGGCCAAATGTCCGTCGGCCAAATATCCGGCGGCCAAATGTCCGTCGGCCAAATGTCTGTCAACCAAATGTCCGTCGGCCAAATGTCCGTCGGCCAAATATCCGTCGACAAAATGTCCGTCGACAAAATGTCCGTCGGCCAAATATCCGGCGGCCAAATGTCCGTCGGCCAAATGTCCGTCGGCCAAATGTCCGTCGGCCAAATATCCGTCGGCTAAATATCCGTCGACAAAATGTCCATCGGCCAAATGTCCGTCGGCTAAATATCCGTCGACAAAATGTCCATCGGCTAAATATCCGTCGACAAAATGTCCATCGACAAAATGTCCGTCGGCCAAATATCCGGCGGTCAAATGTCCGTCGCCCAAATATTCGAGTACCATGGAATACTGAATTCAAAGAATGCATCATGAGTTCGAGTAATAATGAAACATAAAATGGATTCAAAATGCAATTTGCGTGTCAGGAACTCTAGAATCAAGTACATGTGTTTAAATATCTGGGAAGCGTTTTGACAGAGGACGGTAAGTGCGACTCTGAGATCCGTAGATGTATTGGGATGGCCAAGAACGCATTCCAAAAACTGGGCAGAGTACTTCGAGACAGGAAGATTTCTTTAGTAACGAAAAAAAAAAAAAAAAGAATACTGAGCTGTTACGTGACATCTGTCCTTCTTTACGGCAGCGAATGATGGACGATTTCCTCAAAGATGAAGAAGAGACACGAAGAGACGGAGATGTGGTTCTACAGAAGGATGCTAACGATATCACGTACCGAGCCACGATGAGGTCTTAGAGAGGATGCAAACAAGGAAAAGGCTTATACTTAACATCAAGAAGAGGCAGCTGAAGTTTCTAGGACACGTAATGAGAAAAGAGGGCTTGGAGAATCTGATACTCACAGGTCGAATAGAGGGAAAGAGCGACAAGAGAAAACAACGCATGACATATCTAGCGGTCTTAAGCAAATGGATGACAGAACGTTGTCTGGGGGAGGAAGCAGAGAGAAGGAACTTGATGAGAGCTGCAAGGGATAGAGAGAGGTGGAGAGCCATGATCGCCAACGTCCTGAAACCAAAACAAGGTCAGATGTCCATATAAACATATCTCCAAAACGCCATCGTTGTACTTCAACGGAGCAACTCATGACGAATGTTCAAAATGACCCCGCTTGCTTCTACACACGCATGCACCCGTTAGATCATTAACTGGCGGGCCCTTTCAAATAGTCCCACACTGTAACGAATGACTTCACAGGGGCCCCATGACACGTTGATGAAGCGTCTCT